ATATATCTAAACTGCAATTTACAGATTATTTTCACAATTTTACCAATTATTCACGTGACAAAGTCACAGATCTTTTATATACAAATTTGGATTTATTTTTATATATTGGATTCTTTATAAAGCAAGATCAGCATAAAAATTTTCGGCGAGTGGCGCAGCACGTGATGTCTTTAGATGATTCGCACCATATAACGCTATTCATTATTGCCACATGTGTATTATTATATATAACACAATTGTGAAACCTTCTGGTTTTATGATATAGTACGTACGATTCACTATATAATAGGTTCGCCGTATCGAGCGCCAACTGTATGAAGTCATTTAGTTTATTGGTAAATAAATAATTACTCTTCCGTAACTTTTCTATATTTAATAACACGCGCCCACCACCATCAACATAAACTCCTTTGAACAAATTTAGAGCAGATAGATCCCATCTTTTTAAGCCATCTGTTTGCTGTCATGGACTAATTTAAGCATTTAAATCATTAATTTTTATTAATTATAAATATTTATAAAAACTATTATTAATTTCAACATTTTCATCTGAAATGGCAAGTTGGATTTATATAGTTTTACCATAATCACTAAAGGAATTGAAAGTATTAACACATACATTATAATCCAATAAACAAGCACAGAACTAAAGAATATATTTGTGTGATTTCGAGAGAACGACTCCTGGTCAGATTACATCTGGTTGTTTTAAATATATGAAAATTATTGTGCAACGAAATAATACTTCTTAGTATAAGCACTTTGACTACTACCATCAGTGATAAAATTTACATTCACTTATCTTTACTTGCCAATGTTGAATTCTTGTGAAATTATTGATTGATTAGAAAACGTACATCTCCTAAAATACTTGTGGAAAATATCGATATTAATTCAACAACAAATAAATTTTATGACATGTTACACGTAGTATTATATTTTAATTTGGTGAAAATTGATAATTTCTGCATTAATTAAACACACATTCTGTGCATTCACGTGTAAATGTGTATTAAAGTTTATTTTTTCACTAAACCCTATTCAAAAAGGATCTTGTTTATTTTTATGATTATCTGAAGAATTTTTTTTTAAGATTATATATTATATAAATAAACAATAATCAGAAAAATTATTTTTTCAAAAGGATTTTGCTTAAATTAATTTATATATTAATACATTTTCGTATATTTTTTCATCAAAAAAAAAAAAAATTTTTTTTAAATTCCACTTTTTTTTTAATTAAAAATGACTTCTGTTGCAATCACTAAGCCAACTGAAAAACGTGAGTTATATATATGAAATGATTGTAATGAATAATTATAATTAGAAATTATGCGTGTATTAATCTTTAATTAATATTTTCTTTAATTTGATTTTTTAGCACTTCCGTTCTTATATCAGTTCACAGCGGGAGCTGTAGCAGGAGTTAGTGAAATACTTGTAATGTTAGTATTGATTATCTATTTTTTGATATTATACATCCGATTTAATTGAGTGATGAATTATTTATTAATTCTCTCTTTTTCTATCTTATACGTGAATAATAAAGGTATCCATTAGATGGTAAGGAAAGAATTTAGAATTCCCAAAATCTTTTTCTTAAAAAATTTTATTTATTTTTTTCGTATATTTAATTAGTTGTGAAGACAAGGTTTCAATTACAAGTTGGTACAGGTGGAGGAGAAGCATATTCTTCTATTTTAGATTGTTTTCAAAAAATCATCAAGAAAGAAGGGTATGATTAAATTGTGATATGATTTTGAAAATATGAAATCAAATTTTATTTCTCAACATCGTCATATCATCAATTTCTAGATTTAGCCGTCTTTATCGAGGAATACTTCCACCAATTCTCGTGGAAGCACCTAAAAGAGCAATTAAATTTTCAGCGAACGAACAATATTCTACTTTATTAAAAAAAATTTATGGAGTAGATAAAATGAATCAACCATTATCTATTCAAGCAGGTATTGGAGCAGGATGTACAGAAGCTGTTGTGATTGTTCCATTCGAACTTGTCAAGATTCGTCTTCAAGACAAAGCAAATGTGAGAAATTAAGAAATTAGGATTATATAATTATATAGAATTGTAATAATGATAATCATTATTCATTTATTTTGCAGACTTCTAAATATAATGGAACATTAGATGCATTAAGTAAAATTGTTAAAAATGAAGGTAAATAATCCTTGCATTATTGTTACATTATTATTATTATTATTATTATTATTATTATTATTATTATTATTATTATTATTATTATTATTATTATTATTAT